TGGAGGGCTGGACTGTGACCATGATGTATGGCTTTACCTGCTCTCTCTTCTCCCTGTTGAGCGATTATCATTTCACAGAAGTTCCGTCTGGAAGGGAGGAGTGTGTTTGCAAACTGCATGTCTCCCAGTGAATAGTGTTTGCCAAGGCGATAAGCCGTTCTCCCAGCAGGAAGCTTGGAAATCCTCATGGTCAGTGGTCCCCAAACCTTTCCAGCTTTCCCACGATCATCACACATTGAACAGGAAACACGGGGTCCTAAAGTCCACGAAGCAGGGGCGGAAGCTCTGGCTGAGTGGTTCCGGGCACTGGCTACTCTTCCAGAGGACTCGGGCCTGATTCCCAGCACCCACGTGGTGGCTCATGTTCATCTTGCTTCTGTGGATACCAGGCATGCACGGAGACAAAACACCCATACACGTAAAGATTTATTTAAAAACCGATGGAGCATTTGCTTGACTAGATTTCAGGGAAGGAGAAGGGGGACACTAGCCAGACTCTGAAGGGAGTGCAGTGGCGAGGACTTCCCCAGATGGAGCCTCTGTCATGCTTACTACTCTGAGAGTTTACCATCAAGACATGAGATAAGCTCTAGGAACCGTTGGCTATTGTGTTTCATCAACTGCATCCAAAATAAACTACCTCAGATTCAGGAACCTGGAAACCACTTCTCTCTCAGATAATTGTGTTGGCCCGGGTTGAATCATGGAGTAGGTGGCTCAGGAAAGAGACCTACAAACCCCAAATCCGTGGTCTCCGAGGCCATCCTACCAGCATCTGAAGGCAACTTTACGCCGCCACCGTGAGACGTTAGTTCTGTTGCTTTGCCTCTGTCCCAGTAAAGCCCATAGTGACTTCAGGGTCCACTCAGAGTGCCAAGAAGGCTTGGTCTTTCTGGTGTCAGTCTGGGAATCTACCTGAATCCCACCATTCAGTACTGAAGAGCCCTCATTAGCTGGTGCTTTCTCCCGTGGGCTGAGACTGGATACTTTCCCAGTCCTCTTTTGGTTTGCCCTGTGGTCTTCAGTTGTAAGTTGTTATGTGTCTGGCAGGTGGAGAGAGAAAGAGCATCGCAGGGGTTAAAAATCACAGACAGGGAAGGCTACATTCCCAGCTTCACACCTCAGCTAGTACCTGGGGTTGTGGTGGTTGTCGCCGGGAAGTTCACTTCTCCATGCAACTCTTTTCCCAGCCTGGAACCACAGAAGTATTTATTCACGTCTACAGACAGTTGTTGGGTGTCCCAAGCACAAGTAGAGACTAAGACAACATTTCTAATCCTGTAGAGCTCTGTGGTTGTCGAGGGAGAAGTAGCAAGAGATGTTTCAGACGCGCACATCCAGGATAAGTGCAGGAAAAAGAATTAAAATAGGTTGACATGTGTAGTGGTTTGCAGAGGAATGGCCCCAGTAAACTCCTGCTTGCATGGCCCAGAGGGAGCGGCACTATTAGGAGGCGTGGCCTTGATGGAGTAGGTGTGGCTTTGTTGAAGGAAGTATACCTCCATGTTTCCTTCCCACCATGATGATAATGGACTAAACTTCTGAAATTGTGAGCCAGCCCCAATTGCAAATATTCCTTTATAAATGGTCACGGTGTCTCTTCACAGCAATAAAACCCTAACCAAGGTAATGTGGTAAAGGGACAATATGGACGTTGAGAGTGGTTGCTCAGCGAAGCCCCCCTTCCCTGTAACCAGCTGTCAAGGACTAACCCAGAGGAGCGTCAGGTAGGACTTTCAGGCCTGGGCATTAAGAGCAGGAATCTTGCTTTTGATTTCACACATGCAAACCTGTTGCACCGTGTTATCGCAGAGCCTGTCCCTTGTTTAACAACTCAGCCTGGAAGAGTGAAGAAGCCTACAAGCCCTTCCTACTCAAGGGGTAGCCTTAGCCTTACACAGGAAGCCACAACTATGCAAATATATGCTTCCAATGACAAACCAAGCCTACTTACATATTCCCCCAAATGCCCTGAGTAATTCCCAGAGACAAGGCAGGAGGACTGCCAGGAGGAGAACATTACCTTAAGCAACTGTTAAAAACCTTACTTTCTACAGACAAAGAGTCACACAAGTCCACAGACCATGGTTCTCTTCCATGGCCTGGAAGAGTTCTGTCCTGAGAGGAACTATGAAGTCCATTGGCCTCATGTTAAATCTGCCCCCAGGTTCAGGAAGTCTAGGTAACAAAAGATGTTAGCTCTGGAGATCATCCCTCTGAAACACCACTTACAGCGTACGTAGTGCGCCGTCATTGGTGGCAGCCCTGTGTAGCTGGGGTGCTGGGGGGGGGTGGAAAACAGACCATCATCCAAACGATGTGTGATCAAAGGCAAGCTTTGGACACCACATCAAAAACGCTGGAGCAAACACAGTGTGACACTCACTGAAAAGAATGGACAATGGCGGCATCTACGTGAAGGAGTTGATGACCAAGCCTGCTGGAGGACATGTGGGACACTCAAGAGCATTTTAATTCAGTCCGACATGGATTAAAATTAGAGGAGAGGAGGAACCAGTGTTGAGGTGGGCGAGGGTACGGTACCGAGTCAAGGGGCAGAGAAGATTGAGACGGGGAGTGGACAGGCTGCCACAGGAACGTGTGGGAGCCAGGTGCTTGCTGAAGGGACTCTGGCCAGCTCAAGCATGGCCAGCACGGCTCTGGCACTCCTTGCCCTTCTCCCCCATCCCCTCTGCCTTGCTAAAAACCATTAGATTGCATTCTTAAAGCTAGCCACCAAGGTCCAGCCATCCAAGTACTCAAGTCCAGAAATCAAAAAGCCCCCACTGGCTCACCTAACTTACAATCCCAATTAAAATTAAGCACCTCATCCTAACAGGGTTTCCCTTTGTACCTTTATAGACCGCCATAACCCTACGTGCATGTCTGTCTCCGCTCTATCCAGAGGCAGTCCTTTGTCATCTAGGACAAATCCCCCTGCCCCTTTCCTTGTCCCCTTTCCCCTTCCCTCTCTTCCTCTATCCTCTGTCTCCGTCCTTTTATCCCTGTCCTCTGTCCCTCTGGGGCGAACAAATCTCCTTTGTGCTCACAACGTGGCCTTGGGTCCTGAGCTAACACTTGTCCTGTTGCCTGCTGTTTCCTAAGGTGGACACCATCTATGTGGACAATTCATCTTGGGGTTATCCAATGTAATAAAAACTTGCGGGGGGAGGATTATACATAGATTCCTTGTCTTGACATTCCAGAGCTTATACTAGAGAATACACTGTGTTTGAGGTGACTGACAGTTTCATTGATGTCAGCATGGCTATCTGAATTGAGGCCATGACTCCGTTGCTTGAGGGCTTTGCTCACGTGCAAAAAATAAAAAAAATAAAAAAACACCTTGACTTTAATCTTCAGCTCCAGATGAAAACAGGCTTGTCTCACGCGTGGTGCCGGGAACTCCACCATGAGCTGGAGGTGAGGACAGGAGGGTCAGAGGTCACGGTCATCGTTAGCCACACAGTGAGTGTGGAGCCATCTTGGGACATATGAGACCTTGTCTAAAAAACAAAGCCAAAGGGGGGAAAACACACACACACAACAACAACAAAAAACAACAAACTAAAACCAACAGAAAACCTTGGCTGGGCTATCATAGCCAGTCACATAACTAAACATAATCAATGCTATTCCAAGGCCTTTAGTAGCTGTGGTGAGCACTGGCGTCCATTTGGCTTTAAGTAGGAGAGGTGACCCTTTGACCCTTGGCGTGGAGGGGCCTCTTCTGGTCACCTGCACACTTTAGAGGAGAGCACCGCAGTCCCTTAGAAACCTGGTGGAACAATTGCTGCTCCAGCCTCCAACCCGCCAGGCTGTGTCACTTTTTTCAGACTTCACCCCTACAAACACGAGCCAACTGCGTACAACAAGTCTCCTCTGTCTCTATAGGTGTGTGTGCACACGCTTTTGTACACACACAGTAAATATCCGCATGCATGCCTTGAACGCACATTTTATATACGGCTGGAGTTCCCTGTGGTCCCTGGTGGGATGTCAACACGACGCTTTAGGAGGAGCAGGGGATCCAAAATTTTCCTACCTGAAGGCTTTAAGGGCGGTTCTAACCGGTTAGGTTTAGCCGATTGTGAAGTAAGCCAAAAATCAAATCTGGGGAGGACTTCTTCGGTAGCCTGCTATACTGGCGGTTTTCTGGCTGACACAATTGTCTCTGGGGACCAGACAGGTCTCTTGGCTCCTAGCTTCCTTCCCTTAGGTGGGGAGCTGCGTCATACATCATCATATGCTAAACCATCCTATGCCACTGGATAACCAAATATGTCCCCAGACATTGGCAAATGGCCCTGAGAGGCAGCTACCGTGTGGCTCTAAGCCTGTGTTGTCCTGGCTTGAGCTCTCCGTGCTGTGGCTTTCGTGTTCACTCTTCTCGATGATCGCTGAGCACTTAGTGGCTTAAGTGTCATCCTACAGGAAGGGTGCAGAGATGAAGACCTCACTCTGTCTTTCCAGCCTCCTTACTATCCAGTTCAGGACCTCCCTGGGTCCAGCGCTGCTACAGAACCCAGAAGAGGGATTGGGTGTTGAGTATTAAAGCCCTCAATAGAGGGGGATCTTGAGGAAGTTAAGGCAATGAACTTCCATGTAAGTGTCAGCTTTATTAATTTATGTAGGAAGCATATCCAACAGTAAAATAAATAAATATAAAAATTAGACAAAAATAACACATTTGAAGTCGATTTCTAGCTTCCTAAGAACTCACCTGGGACCTGAGAAATGTCACTGGTGTTAAAGCAGACATGAGCCCCCCGAGCAGAGTGGCATGCACATCTCTGTGGGCCTACTATGTGCCAGCCATTTTTCTAGGCCCTGGGAGGAGGGCGTCAGGGTCTATAGCTGAGCTCGACTCCAGCCCCTTCCTCGACAGCACAGGTGAAAACGCTGTAGCGTCAAAGGAGAGCACGTTAGGAAACGGAAACCAGTTTTCATGAGACACGGCTGAGTGAACCGCTGAGCGCTTTCACCTTTAGAAAGAGCAGATTGGAGGAGAACATGATAACGGCCTCCCGAAAGCTGTTCGGAGGGGAGAGCTGTTTCATTCTCCACTGCTCCCCAGAGCTGAGCGGAGCTCGCAATAAAAGGAGCCATCAGTTTGGGCTCCCATGAAAAGGAAGGCAGAAAACTCAAGCTATTGTGTACCTACCCGGAGCAGAGGCTTCCAGGGTCCACACTTATCCCATGCAATCCCGTAGCGTCCCCACGAGCTGCAATGATCAGCAGGAAGAGGAAATGGGAGCTTCCACAAAGTCATGCAGGTACTCAGTGGCACCCAGGGGCTGGCTCTCCGCTCCTACAGCTGAACCGTGGTGTTTCCAACACCAGTGCTTTCCAAAGTGGGCGCATTTGCTGGGGCTGGAGGTGGGCACTTGCATGATAGACAGGTAGAGGCAGACGGTCCACCTAAAGTTGTTTTTTCCAGAGTTGGTCTGATACTCAAAGTGTTTTCCGGTTGCGATCCTGTATATGCCTCCCTGGATACCCAATGTGTAACAAACTTCCTGGAGAGACACTCCACACACCAATGCTTGGGGGAAAAAAAGTCCTCTTCGTGGTACTTGTTTTGGTGATTATAACTAGCAAATATTTATATGTATACATAATACATTACGTTTGAGAGTGAAAAAGTCTATGACGAGAAATAAAATGTGGAAGATGAATAGGGAGTCCTGGAGACGTGGGGAGACATAATCTTTATTTTTAAGGTTTATTTAGTTTTCTTATTTGTATGGCATTTTGCCTTTCTGTGTGTCGGTACACTGTGTGTGCGGTGTCAGCAGAGGCCAGAAGAGGAAGTCAGATCCCCTCGAACTAGAGCTACAGATGCTCGTTAGGCACCACATGGGGCCATATGAGCCAAAGCCCGGTCCTTCGGAGGAAGAGCCAGTGCTCTTACCTGCTGAGCCATCTCTCCAGCACCAAGATATGATTTTCTTTTTTTTTTTTTCTTGAGACAGGATCTCTGCTAGTATTTAGACATTTTTACTGGCTGTTCCTTCCCCCCCCCCGTCTCTCCTCTCACCCACTGCTCCTGTCTCCGCCCTCCCTTTCCCTTTTTTTTTTTTTTTTTTTTTTTTTGAGACAGGGTTTCTCTGGATTGTTTTGTTTTAGAGGCTGTCATGGAACTTGCTCTGTAGACCAGGCTGGCCTCGAACAGAGATCCGCCTGCCTCTGCCTCCCCAGTGCTGGGATTAAAGGTGTGCGCCACCAACGTCCGGCTCCCCTTTCCCTTTTAACAATCCTCTTCCCCCAATAAAAATCCCCTCCCCTTGAACTCTGCCGCCTGGTGACTTTCTCTCACGTGCCCTCCCCCTTTTTAATATTACAGCAGTCTCAGTCTACTGCGTGTACATCATGCTGACCCGGAACTCCAAGGGATCCATCAGTCTCTGCCTCCCCAGTTCTGGGATTAAGGGAAAGGGCCGCTGGGCCCACTATTAAAATGCCATTTTCAACAGATGGCCAGGGGAGTCTCACTGCAGAGGTGGGAACACAGCATCGGGTGCGAGGCCATGAGGCAGTGAGCCGCGCAGACAGTGAGGAATGAGAACTCTTTTGAAGTCAAGGAAAGGGCACGGGCAGATGCCCAGGAAACAGCGATGCCTGGTATGGGCAGCAGCAAGGACAGCAGACGACCACGCAAGTCTTTTGGCGGCGTGGCCTGCGTAAGGCAGATGTGAAGATGCGGGTGGGTCTGTGTAAAACGAGTCACAAGTGTGTAAAGGGGGGAGAAACTTGGGAGCCTGTGGCCAGCGGAGGCATCTCTACAATGCCTGTGGTCTGAGATACCTAGGTGTGTGACTCTGCTGAAGTCATGACAAATGAGGCTTCCCATATGTGGTTAAGGTCACGACTCCAGAGTAGGGAGTGTGATCTGAATGGCTAAGAGGGATCCAATTTATATGCAAGTGATGGGCGGGGTGGGTGGGGGGAAGAGTCCTTCTGTGTATGTGTTGTCCTATTGGTTGATAAATAAAGCACTGTTGGCCAATAGGGAAGCAAGACAGGTGGGACTAGGAGTCGAGGAGGATTCTGGGAAATGTAGTCCGGACTTATGCCCTCTCCTCCAGAGATCACATGGCAACTCTCCACTACTACATTTCCCAGAATCCTCCTCGAAGACCTTATAAAAATATATATTAGTAATTATGGGTTAACAATTAAGTCAGAGCTAGCCATTAAGAAACCATAGCAAATGGCCAAAAGCTTTTTTTTTATTAATATAGTGTCCTGCACGTTCAGTTGGTACTGACGGGGCTCTGGGACCAGGCTGACCTGAAGATTTTACATACAAGAGCCTTTGAGAGCAGGGCATTCTCTTTTGGCTTAGTTAGATGGAGGAGGAAAGCCTAAGGGACACTAAGAATGAAGAAGCCCAGGAAGGCCAAGTCTTTCTCCATTGTTGGCTTGGAAGTTGGAGAACGGGACCCATGAACCAACGAAACACAGCCTCTAAGAGCTGGGAGCAGCTTGGGGATGTCTAGCAAGAAAATAAAGCACTCCCTCCCCTAACCTCATGAGTCTGAATGATCTGAATTCATCCAACAGCCCGAAGGGGTGTCAAAGCACACTCCAGAGGTCAGGTCACAGTGCAGCCGGGCCGAACCCCTGGCTTCAGCCTTTGAGACCAACCAGAGGGCACAGCCACACCGTAACTCCTGCTTATAACATACAGATCTAAGAGCTCAAAACGGGTATCGTTTAAATCACTGCATCTGAAACATTATCAGTAAACAGAACTAATAAAACCACCGAGAGAGAAGTTACAGATAGAGCCAAGGAGAGGATAAAGAGCTGAGTTCAGGGCTGTCTAGTCATCAGAGCTCACAGAGACAGTGAGAACTCTGGGAGGAAGCCATGGACAGGGCTGTGGGAGGGTTAGCCAGTCAGAGGGGAGCCAGAAGCCCACAAAACAGTGTGTGCAGGAGAGGGCAATGGCCTCCGTCCAAGTGTGCTCATAGTTCCTGTTTGAGTTTTCCAGGGATATGACTTCCTTCCTTCCCTCCCTCCTCCTTCTCTCCCTCCCCCTCTCTTTCTTTCCTTTTTTTTTTTTTTTTTTTTTTTTTTTTTTTAGACAGGTTTCTCTGTGTAACAGTTTTGGCTGTCCTAGAACTCACTTTGTAGACCAGTAGACCAGGTTGGCCTGGAACTGACTGAGATCCCCCCGCCCCTGCCTCCTGAGTGCTGAGTTTCTTTCTCACTGTTTTGACTTCCTGTTAAGATCTTAGGCGCTGGTTGGGGGACATTCTAGTCCTGCAGATCTTCAGAGGCTTGAGTGACTGCGACGGTGGGACACTTATATGGCTTCTGATGCTTAGCAGGGTTGTAAATCCTACAGCATTTTTTTAATAGTGAAGGTTTGGGGAGGAAGAAGCAATGTCTGTGATTTATTCATCAATTTACTTGACATCCAAGCCACAGCCACCACCACCCCCATTCTCCCCTCCCAGGCCCTGTCCTCCTCTCCCTTCTCTTCCATCTCCCAGGAAAGGGCAGAGCTCCTGTATCAGGACATGTCAAGTTTCAGTAAGACTGGGCACCTCCCCATTATTAAGGCTGGGCAAGGCCACCTGGTAGGAGAAGTAGGGTACCAAAAGGCAGTAAAAGAGTCCTGCTGTTAGGAGTCCCATAAGGGGACCAAGTTACACACCTGTGACCTGTATGTAGGTCAGTCCCATGCAGGCTCCCTGGTTGTTGGTTTAGTCTCTGGGAGCTCCTAGAGCCCAGCTTGATTGTGTGAACCTTCCCATGGTGTCCTTGACCCCTCTGGCTCCTCCACTCCTCCTCCACAGAATTCCTGAACTCCACCTACAGTTTGAATTTCTGAACTCCACTTGGACTGTAGATTGTAGCGTAGTTGGTCTTTATTTTACCCACTTATGAGTGACTCTGGGCCTCTGCACCTGCCTCCATCAGTTGCTGGATGATGCCTCTCTGATGACAGCTGGGCCAGGCACAATTGGGTAGGCCAGTTCAGACTACTTATTCGCTATTGCTAGAAGTCTGAGCTGGGGTCCTCCCCATAGACTCCTGGCAAATTCCCCTGCACGAGGCTTCTGCTGGATCCCGAAATGCAACCCAGCAACCCTTCTCAGTTCCCTCTGCCCCCCATCCTGACTGCTTATGTTCCCATCCCCACCTGCCCTCAGTCCCCTCTCAAAATCTCTTCTATTTTCCCTTCCCAGGGAGATCTAGGTGTCCCTCAGTGAAGTTGTTACTTAGTCTCTCTCGGTCTGTAGATTGTAGTCCCTGGTAGACTTTTTGGGGTATGCTATCATATTGCCTGAGAATAATAATACTTTGACTTCTTTCTAATTTGTGTATCCTTGGTCTTCTTTAGTGGCCTCATTGCTCTAGACAGAACTTCAAGTACTTGTATTGAGTGTGTATGGAGAGAGTGGACAGCCTTGTCTTGTCCCTGATTTTAGTGGAGCCGCTTTGAGTTTCTCTCCATTTAGCTTGATGTTGACTGTCTGCTTGCTGTACATTGCTCCTATTATGTTTAAATGTGTCCCCTGTATCCATAATCTGGCCAAAAACTTTTATCATGAAGGGGTGCTGGTTTTTTCCAAAGGCTTTTTCAGCATCTAATGACATGATCATGTGTTCTTTTTTCTTTCAGTTTGTTTATAGGGTGGATTATATTGACAGATTTTCATGTGTTGAACCAACCAGTCCTGCATCTCTGGGATGATCTTTTTGATGTGTTCTTGGATTCAGTTTGCTGCTATTTTACTGAGTATTTTTGCATCAATATTCGTAAGTGAAATTGGTCTGTAACTCTGTTTCTTTGTTGGATCTTTTTGTGATTTGGATATCATGACTATGGCCTCATAAAAAGAATTTGGCAATGATCCTTATGTTTCTATTTTGTGGAATAATTTGAGGAGTATTGGTATTAGCTCTTATTTGAAAGCCTGGTAGAATTCTGCACTAAAACCATCTGGTCTTGGGTTTTTGTTTGTTTGTTTGGGAGACTTTTAATGACTGCTTCTATTTCCTTAGGGGTTTTCCATCTATTTAATTGTTTATCCGATCTTGACTTAACTTAGATAACTGGTATCTATCAAGAAATTTGTCCATTTCTTTTAGATTTTCCAAATCATTTGGAGTATGGATTTATGAAGTGTAACCTAATGATCCTTTGTATTTCCTTGGAGTCTATTGTTATGTCCCCCTTTTCATTTCTGATTTTGTTGATTTTGGATAGTCTCTCTCTGCCTTTTACTCGGTTTGGATAAGCGTTTATCTATTTTGT